AAAGAAAGAAAGAAAGAAAAGAAAAGAAAAATAAAAAATCACTTAAGTAAGCTTAAACAGCTTAAACATCCTGGGCAGTATCTAGCCTTTCGACCTCAAGTCCAATGTTTTTTTCACTCAAACATCAAGTCTAACTCCTTCAGGCTGTGACATTTTGCACAGATGAGGAAATTCTGACCTAACCACGAGGTGAAAACGTTTGCCCAGGGCTCTAGTCTTGCAGAACCTAAGCTTCCCACTGCTCAGAGTTTATTATTTTCCCTAATAGTCCACTGTAAATAGCAACACTCCCCCCGAGTTATTTATCATTACTAAGTGCAAGGAAGGGTAATCAAAGTGAGATAGCTCCCAAAAAGCCAGTAGAAGCTTTAGAGATCAAAGATGTGAAAAACTCCTGTATAACTTCAGCTTTGCTGGGAAGGCCCAAGTAATGAGCTACCAGACCTCACCAAAGAGTGCTGGGGCCGGGTGTGGTGGCGCACGCATGTAATCCCCGCACTTGGGAGGCTGAGGCAGGAGGATTGTTGCGAGTTTGAGGCCAGCCTGAACTGTACAGCAAGACCCTGTCTCAAAAAGGCCAAAAAAAAAGTGCTGGAGGTGAGGTACGGGAGAGGAAGAAGACAGTGAATACTCAAGGAGCTGCGTGTAAGTTTTAAACCTGATCAGCTTGGGCAGGTCACCGCCCTCTCGGGTTGACTTTTTCAGGGGAGGCTAAAGGCAGGCTTCCAAAGAAGGAATCTCTGGTCACACTTTCTTTGCCCTGATCGCCAGGACCTCCTATGGGCCAGCGAAGACAGCCTTCAGGGCCAAGTTCCCGCCTAAATGCAGCAGAGCTTGCATCGCGCACAGCGCCCATCCTGCTCCCAGAGCGGGGGGCCGCGGGCGGCGGCAATGGAGCGCAGGAGTCTCTACCCTAAACGAGGGGTGCGGGCTAGGCGAGGACGGCTACCTGAAGAGATCCTCGTCCAGCGGCTCAAGGCTGAGCACGCTGGTGACCAGAACGCTACGGAGGTCCCGGGAGGGATCGTCGCGGTCGCCGCCGCCCTTCCCATCCTCCGGAGCCTGAAGCATCGACATCTTGTTCACTCAGTTCCGGCTCCCCGGCAGAACACGCGGAGACCTGCCCAGGACCCCGGCGCTTCCGGGAGATTGCCCTAGTAACCGGAAGTCCGCTGAGGACGCGAATAGGATGCGAGTTACTATTGATCGGTGCTCCTGTCCGTTCCCGAGTGAGTTTGGTTATCTGTCTTCAGTGATTGGATAAAATAAATGCCAGTCTGAGACTCCAGTGTGTAATTGGATGTGACTCTCGGAGGGGGGTGGAACCTCGGGTCTGGATAATAAGGACTGTCATTTCCCTTCTGTCAGAGCAGACTGCCAGCCGCTTGCGACCCAGTGGTGCACGGGGCTTCTCGCGCGCTCCGTAAAAGGCCATCTAATTGGAGCTGCGCCTTAAGGCGTCCTGGGCCCATGTCACTGTAAACAGTGTGACCTTTGACCCTTATTGTGATCTTCGAGCCGAGCCCCGGCGTGGGCTGCGGGGGCGGCCATGGAGCTGGGCAGCTGCTTCAAGACCTATGAGGACTTCAAGGAGTGCTTCAGCGCCTACAAAAGGGAGAACAGATGCTCCTTCATCCTCAGGGACTGCGTCTCCGTCCGCTTCCACAACCTCAACCACGGCACTTCCATCCGCGAGGACATCCTGTAAGGGCGGGCGCAGGGCGGGCGCGGAGCGGGCGGGGGGCGGC